CCCAGGGGTGCCCTGGGAAGGCCGCTGGTAGCTACTAGGGTAGCGGTAATTGCTCCCGAGAGAACTGCGGCCGCTGCCCGTGCGGCGATGAGGAAATCCATTGTCACTGTGTCCATCCTCGTCTCCGTCGCCCACCTCGTTTGCACTGAGTCGGACCGGAACGGTCGCTCCAACGAGAGTTGACGCCGAAAATTCTGTCACTCCCTTGTTTCCATGCTTGTTCTTGCCGCTTCCCAGGGTACCGGTGCGTCCGGCGCCAGCGCCATGGACTTCCAGGTAGGCCCTCTTCTTATCCGCCAGCTTTTGGGCCCGAAGTCGGGGATCTTCAGGCTGAGCTCGATCACACCAGACAGTTGCCTTCTGCCTGCGCATGAGAGCCACGTAGCCGACTTGAGCGTTGGTCGAGCGGGATGATGTACTCCGGCGGATATCAGAGCTAAAGTTGTTTCCGGTCGAGCTGGTGGAGGTGGTGGCACTAGACAGGCGCCTCGAAGGGTGACTAACGTGGCTGGTCATTGTGTAATGCGGCGAAGGGGCACCGGCATATTGTTGCTGATGCGCCCCGTACGGCGAGACATGGGACGAAGAAGTTCGATTGCGGCTGGCCGACGAGACGGAGGGATGGGGAGAAACTTCTTGTTGTTGGTGGTGGTCGTGCTGCTGTTGCTGCGCACGATAATGGTGCGGCGGTTGTTGCTGGTGAGGCTCGTAGGATTGGAAAGGGTATCCACGATGCATTCCAGGGACGGGCTTCCGAGAAGGTGCCTGGTGAATTGGGAGTCTGTAGTCGGTCATGGTGGGTGGAGCTTGCACGCCAGCCATGCAGGACCGAAAGCAGTTGAGAGTTTGCGGGAGAAAAGAAGATTCCAAAGGTTACTTGTTGAGTAGAGGCGACAAGAGCAGAGTGCAGGCACTATCTGCCTTGGCGAGTAGAAAACGACTGCAAAAAGTCGCCTTGATTGAGAATGGAAGGAAGAGGCGTGTTGGAAGTAAGGGAACCCGAGTTTGTCTTGTCGCGCGATGATGGATGGATCAGCGAATTGGCCGGCGATTCCGTTGTGTGGTACATGCAGCGGTATCCGGCGGCTGCAGCGAAGGAAAGATAGAAGGAAAGAAAAAGAATTGCTTCAACAAAGGAATCGTGCGGATTAATGAGTTTCGGAAAAGAAACCAAACGCAAAGATTCCAATGCCCGAAGCGGCCAACTTTCTGTTCTCAGTCGAGGTTACAGGGAGCAGCACTTGATGCCGTGAGGAGTAGCGACAGGAGAATGATCGATCAGGCCGCTTTGGGAACAGGCACGAGGGGAGGCCTTGGCGGTCTTGGGCGGTTATCTGACTGCAGATTCAGCAAGCCACTTTGGATAGACACGCTGGCAATAGATGACAGCTGAAAAGTAGAGAGAAAGAAAGAGTAATAGAAATCAGCCAACCTCGACGAGACAAGAGGAGAGCTATGGCTGTTTAAACATACCTTAGTATGGGAGTATTAATCGGTCGGCCCATGAGCCCATGAGATGAGCGAAAGAAGGCGAACAACACAGAAAAAATGTTAAGTACGTAGTTTTTGCTTTTCAAGACCCAGTTTGGTTGGTACGGACCGGTACCTTACTAGTTCTGTTACCAAATACAGGCACATTTATCTAGTTCCAAGGGAAAGGAAGATATGGTAATTGGTAAACAGCAGCACAGCCACATGTTTCATCCACACAATAGCTGCGAATTATTACGTAGGTACGGAGTACATATCTCCCTGACCACTTAAATAATAAAGCCTAATAATAATACTGATAATTGAAAGCATTGAAATTTTGGCTGGGTTACAAAAGGACAAGTAGGAGACATCACAATGAAGTCATGACTTGAGGTCATTCCCTTTGTCTTCCACTCCTGGAACCACACAACCACCAAGGTTAAGCCTTTCATGTTAGGGTAATGATGACAAAGGTAGTACTCAACAAAAAACAAAAAACAAACAAAAAGGTCCGTGCCTCTTATCAACGTGCTTGTAGCTGTTTTCTATTAAGCAGCTAAGTTAGCACTGAAGCATTAAGACAAGTCTCAAAGGTAAAGAAAGATGCAGTCATCCTTGTGGGGTTACTTTCTTGTCCAGTCATGATGCGTGGACAGGGCACGCAACCGCGAAAAGTCCGTTGCTAGTCTACCTTTGTCAGCTGTTACAAGATAACTAAGGTAACAACTAACTTAGTTAGTAGTTAGTTGACTACCTTACCTCCCATAAATCAATACGGAGTACGGAGTATTTGGGGCTTGTGGCTTTACCAGCTGAACATAACTATTGTTATCTGGTTTGTGTGCCAGTATAGCAGTGCTGCGCCACAGTTTTCGACACGTGGAGTCCTAATATGGTAGGTATAATACCGGTAAATACCATACCCGCTTCTGGTTGTACTACAGATTCAAGTTCCCAAGGTTCGAAAGGTACAAGTAAGTGCCTTGTCAATTTTACCCTCCGTGGTACCTGAGTAACAAGTCGGATCAATTTCTTCATCCAAATGTCCGTTAATTTAGTCTGAACTAAAGGGATCATGACGTAGAATACTCCACCATCTGGAGATATGACCGGAAGCACGGAAGAAAGATCCTTTGGTGTAGACTTGGGTCCTGAGGTCCAAATATTGCTACTGAGAGAAGTGGGAGAATGTATGGCTTTAGTCAGGCACAGGAAGGTAGTTACATATACCTACCTTACTTTGCCCTGACTATCACTTGCAGTAATGGCAACAGATCGTCAAGCATTCGTATAGGTTTCTCCGCTGCGATGTCGCCTCAACCCAAGAGTGGTGAAAGTATCAAATGACGCGATGATTAGGTAGGGAGTCTACATTGATAACGCTTAGTCCATCGAATTATCCCACCGGAACTCTTGCAGGTTACATTCAGCCGTTGTAACATTTCTCAGAGCTGCTCGAATGGGGCAATCTCCACCTGTTTCGATCCTTTCAGCTCGCCATGGATTCCGATGCTGGTAAGCCTGGTAAGCCTGGTAAGGTACTACGTATTTCATACCGTAACGAGGGTATCTAGGTACCGGAGATACGTGCTGCAGTATGCATAATCAACTTGTGCACATATGCCTGAATCAGACACCTTCGCAGCATTATCTGTATTTTTGTGTCTCCATCGCCCATCTGTTGGGAAAAGAATCGAAAGAATTGTAAGGATTGAAATGGACCATTGCTACCCTGCTGATGCTGACCGACCGACCGGTTGACCGACCGACTGTCGGTTGCTGAGTGTGGCTGTGGCTGAGGATCCCCTCATACCACCAAATCAAACGAAACCCAATTGAATTCTCCAGATCTCGTTTCTCAGCCCTAAGCTTGTCTCACATCTTGCGATTCCCGCACATACTGAATGGCCAAAGCTTCTCTCCCTGGAGGGTCATGGGTATCATCGTGATCGCGTCCACCAATAATCCCGTCGCTCTAGAAGGCCATTCTGAGACATCAGCTACGCTACCTACAGTTTAGACTTGCCTCCCTCGATCCACACCAATACTCCATCTCCTCGGATATCAAAGTCCCGCCCCCTCTCCCATCCCATCCATGCCTTGAGCGTCTCCTGCCCGCCGGTACCGGGTAACAACCCGCCTCCTGTCCATCCGCCGTCGTCAGCCGGGATCGGAAGACCGGGCGTGTCAACCAGGTGCACCGCAGGTCTCTGCTCGTAGCCACTCTGTTCCAATTCCGCCTGCTCCAGCACAGGCGTCGCGCAAGCATCGGTGCCGTCAAAGATGGCCTCCCACTCGGCCCGCGTCTTCTCCTTGAATCGCTGCTCAAACGCGGCTCGCAGGGCGGGCCAATTCGCCCTGTCCTCCCGTGCGGGGAGCTCCCCTGTTTCAAATCCCAGCCCCTTGACCAGCGCCGCGTAGAACTGCGGCTCCAACGCTCCGACCGCAAAATACTTGCCCCGGTCTTTGCACTCGTAGGTGTCGTAGAAGGGACTGCCGCCGTCCAACATATTCTCGCCGCGGGGTAGATTCCACAGCGGCGTCTGCCGATTCAGTCGCGGCATCGTCGCCAAGTACGCGGACCCGTCTACCATGTTGGCTTCGACCACCTGGCCTCGTCCTGTGTGCGCGCGCGCCAATAGCGCCAGCAGGATCCCAAGGAAGCACATGGCGCCTCCGCCGGCGAAATCGCCCAGGATGTTGCCCGGTGCAAAGGGGGGTTCTCCCTTCCGGCCAAGCATGGACAAGACCCCAGACACCGCGATGTAATTGATGTCATGGCCCGCCATATCTTTGTATTTGCCGTCCCGACGGAAGCCCGTCATACGAGCCACAATCAGGCGCGGGTTGTGTTTCAGGAGTACATCGGACGGCGAGAGGCCCAGACGCTCCAGCACGCCCGGACGGTAGGGATCAATCAGGACATCGGCCTTTGACAGGATAGAGAGAAGAAGGCGGTGGGAAGTTTTGTCCCGCAGGTCCAACGTGATGGACGTTTTCCGGCGAGTCAACTGGTCTGTGGAGATGGAATTTGGTCGATCAACGCGCAGCACTGACGCGCCATAGTCTGCGAGTAGAAGTCCAGCGAACGGGCCTATATGGTTAGACATAGTCAGATTGTTCGAATGCAGGTATGGTACCAACCTGGCGCCAGGCCTGCCAGCTCGACGACTCGAACTCCTGCGAGTGGAAGGGATGACTTGGACATGACGTCCCAATTCCGACAAAGCTCGATATTAAATAACAGTCGAGACCACACCGCTGGCCCCCGGCGCGATGTGCATGATGGTTTAATAGCTAAGGCTGATGAATGAGCAACCGTTTCTCCGCAGCCGAGGCCCGGGGGCCACGTGCGGGGAAACCAACAGTGCCACAAAGTGAAGCTTCAGGGCATATACGGTTATGCAGTGTGAATACTGATGGCTATACAACATTTGCTATTTATCGGCAAGTACATCATGACTGCAATACTGCTATGCCAAAGATGCATAAATCACCTTATCAAAATGCGGGATGACCCCTTGTGTCTACCAATCATCGCGACCCTCGGCCCTTCCCTCATCATAGGCATTGTCTATATTGTCGCCAAACTGTTCCACCTCGCCGACTTTTCGTCCAGTCCATTCCGCCACATTCTCGGGAAAGTCCTCGACGTCGTCGACTGCATTGTCCCACTTATTCTCGATGCGGTCCTCGGCGTGATCCCAGCCCTGTTCGATATTCTCTGGGATCGCCTCCACTTCACCAACCTAATACCATTTTTGTCAGCATCTGTACAGCAGATCATACGCAAGCACAGCAGAAGAGCTTGTACAAACCTTTTCGCCTGTCCACCGTGCCGCATTCTCAGGAAAATCCTCAACATTCTGCTCGATTCTCTCCTTATTCTCATCCCAGTCCTCATCTGGCCAGAGTCAATAATCCTCCCCCTTTCCGGTTCAGTCAAGGACAACTCACGGATTTTCTCCCCTTCATGCATCAGTATCGCACCACCCACCAGACCGGCCGCCCCCGCCGCCGCACCATACATCATACTATGATCCTTGTGTTCGGGTCGCTGTGCCTGCGACTGCCCGTAGCCGCCTTCATACCCATACGAAGGCTGAGGCTGACCGTACGATCGCTCTCCGTACGACGGACCGCCACTGCCGCCGTACGGCCGCTCCCAGGACCTCTCGCCGGTCTGCTCGTTCACGTAGAACCAACGCTGGCCGCGATCATCCCAGCGGGCGACCCACGGGTAAGGGAGGTCCTGGGGAGGGGCGGGGCCTGAATTATAACCTTGCCCCTGTCCACCGTAGCTGGGCTGCTGGTTGTAGGAGGAGTAGCCGTCGCCGCCGCTGTTGCTGCTGCCACCAGTAGCTTTCTCAGCGAACTTTTCGATCATTTTACCGAGGAAGCCGTCCATACTGATATGAAATATTGAAAGAAACAGATATGAAATATGTAAGTGATAGTTCAAGAGCAGGGGGACCTGAGAGAGGGTGAAAGAAGACTGAACACCATCACGCCAGCTAAGGAGGGTCCGTCCTCGATATTTATACCTTCCATTTGTTTACTTCAATCGCCTGGGGGGGGTTTACTAAAATAAGGGACTATCTATCTTAGTTTCCTCCAGGATGCGGATGCATAGGGAAGTGAGTGATACCTAGAGAGATAAATCGCTCAATCAGCGAAACAGCCGCGACATGCCCCTCCTCAGTCATACTGTGCAGTCTGTGATAGGTCCACTTCAGCGTTCAGCCACATCAGCCCCTGAGCTGTTTTAGCGTAGGCGTATTATTTGTGGCGCGACGAAGCACTGATGTTTCACCTCTTCGTACCTTACGCAGTAGATACATGAGAGCTATGGTTCTGACGCTCTTTTTCCTTATAGATTAATCAATCAATCATCTAAAAGCAATAGAAAAGGACACCATTAAATCTTAGAAAGGTAGGTAGACTGATGAAACCAATACGCCGGATGACGGGTTGGGTCAGTCGGATCGACCCGTCTTGGCCTTGAAAGCTTGTTCTCTGCGTAACTGGTAATTTAACCCCCGCTCGGCTTAATACGACTAAGTTTAGGCATCATCATTTCAGCCGCTGCCAGTAGCGCCTTATCAGCCGCTCAATTAGGTCTATGGATGGTTGATCCGTTACCGATCTGCAAATACTCGAACGATAGAGAATGTCTTATGCTATTGGAGAAGTTCTGCTGCGACGTCAAAATGCAAGTCTCATGCTCTATACAATATGCCAGCGTTTCATGCATCAACCGAGAGTGACAAAGAAATTGGACGCGATGCGCCGAGGGTGGAAGTGGTATAGGACTGCTTAATTAAGGTCCAGCGCAGACTGGACCGGGTCGAATTGTAATGTAAACATCGAAATAAAAAATAAAAAATAAAAAAAACAATGTCAGCTAGAATAGCAGTCCTTCATTATACATTATCTGCCCACATGACAGCTCACAAGGTTGACCCTCTACAGCACGAAGAACGCCGACAGGGCGAGAACCGTGAGGACCAAGCCGTGGCCCAGTCCAGTCATGCGCGAGGCGGCACCGGTGGACAAGGGCGACACAACTTCTTGAGTGTAGCTGGGAGGAATGGGCACGTGAGAGCCACTGCCGGAGGTTTGACCCGAAGGCTTGGCCGATGGCTTCACGGCCAGCGTCGACGAAGGGCGGACAGTGCCGGTACCGAGGATCAGGGGGCGGCTCGAAGTGGGACGAACCACAGTCACGGTATCGGTGCTCGTGCTGACCTGAGTCACTGCTGGGGGAGGAACCTGTCCTTCAGAAGAGCCGCCGGCACCACCGGTGGGGGAAGCACCCGATGGCTGGGTAGGGTTCGATCCCTCGCCAGTAGCGGCAGGGGGTGCGGGCACAACGTCGGTCGACTTCGACCCAGTTTCAGTCACAGGCAGTGTCAACGTCACGGTGGTTGGCTTGGCAGCGCACTGAGTGCAGACGGTCACAGTGGTGGTCCAGCCTTCGGGAACGGCGGGCGCTGTGGTTTGCGATCCGGCTCCACCAGGTCCAGATGGAGGGTTTGTAACCGTGGCCGTGGCGGTCGCAGTGTTAGTACCTGGGCAGTATGTGGTTGTGTACGTAGTAGTCACAGTAGTGAAGCCAGTAGGGCAGATATCGATGTAGGAAGTCACAATAACAGTGGTAATGGTCACAGGCTCTGAGCTGGCACCGGTAGCGGCGGCTGAAGAGGTGACGGTAGGCGCAGCCGTGATGGAGTCGGTCGCCGCGGTAGTGGTTGTCGATCCGCTGCCATTGCCGTTGCCACTGCCGACAGTAGTAGAACTCTTGTCGGTGGAAGAGGAAGACGAGGACGTGGTGGCAGTGGCGGTTGTCGATGGACCGGCGGTTTGCGATGGGGAAGTGCCGACGTCAGTCTGGGTAGAGCTGGACAAATCGGTAGAGCTGGAGCCGGATGAGCTGGGCGCGGGCGTAGGCGAAACTGTCAGTGTCAAGGTAATCGGAGGAGTCGATGATGCGACTGCCTCGCTAGAAGAGGACGAGCCGCCGGGAATGACCGGGGTGCTGGACGAAGCAGGAGTGCTCGAGGCAACTGGGCTGCTTGAGGAGGCAGGGCTGCTCGAAGCAGATGTTCCAGGAACAACAGGAGTGCTCGAAGACACAGGGCTGCTGGAAGCAACCGCAGTGCTTGAGGAGACGGCGCTGCTAGAGACTGAAGTACCGGGAATGACCGGGGTGCTGGACGAAACAGGAGTGCTCGAGGCAACTGCGCTGCTTGAGGGGACAGGGCTGCTCGAAGCAGAGGTTCCAGGAATGACCGGGGTGCTGGACGAAACGGGAGTGCTCGAGGCAACTGCGCTGCTTGAGGAGACAGGGCTGCTCGAAGGTGCGACGGAGCTAGAGGGGGAAGGGCTCGGAGAAGGAGTCGGGGTGCTGGAAGGAACGGCACTGCTAGACGGAGATGGGGTCTCAGAGACGGCAGGGGTGCTAGAAGGCACAGCACTGCTTGATGGCGAAGGTGTGGCCGAGGTCGCCGGAGTGCTCGATGGGATAGCGCTGGAGGAGGTTACGGGAGGGCTCGGGTCACAGTCCAAAAGGATATCCTTCATGTGGTCGGCATAAGGGGCGCCATCAATCTTGTTGTTCTCGGATGCGGTAGCCTCCCAAAGCATGATACCTCCAAAGGTGTCGGGGTACCGGTCCATGTAGGTGGAAACGAGGGACTCCACCTCATCGGGAGTAAGGTAGTAACCCTGGTTGGCTGCAGTCTCACTGGCCGGGAGACCAACATAGAGCTTGGCGTTCTTGCTGGCAGACGCCTTGAGGATGGTCACCCAGGCGTCGAAGTTGAACTTTCCGAGAGTGGTGTCGATGAAGCTCTTAGCCGAGCATGCAGCGGTGTTGTAGTATTGAATCCAGATGAAGTCGAAGGCGGCGTTCAAGATTGCATCACTGAGCTGGGCATCGGGGATGATACACTGAGGAGCAGCCGAGAGATAGAATTTGCGCTCCGGCACCTGGTTGAAGTACTGACGGAAGGTGTTGACCATGGTAGCATAGCCTGGAGAATATTCCGTCAGCGACACGGTCACAGCTGAAAGAGATTCATGCAGCCTTCAGAGAGTCCAGAAAACATACCAAAACCACCATTGTGCTCAATGTCAAAGTCAAAACCATCAACAACGACATTTCCAAAGGGACGAGGACCCTCCCAGCCCTCAGCGACTGGACCAAAAGCTCCCCACAGGAAAGTGGCGAACGCGACGGCACTGTCCTCGGAGAGGATGCTCTGGTCTGGGGGATAGGCACCACCGATGGACAGCAGGACCTTCTTACCAGCCGCCTGGCAGATGGGAATATCCTCCATGATTTGATGGCAGCCGGACAGCAACTTGGTTACAACGCCATCATTAGTAACGTAGTAGGAACCGTCGCACTGGTTGCCAAAATTGGAGCCCGGCCAGTGTCCCGGGCTCATATCGGGGAAATAGTTGATGAATCCAATATTGATGATGTCCAAGGAGGTCTCTTTACAGAAGTGGCTCAGACGGAGCTGGTCAGGACCTTGACCCTACAAGACAATGATCAGCATGCAGAAACTGGAAGCCAAGGCGATTGCTACGGTCGAAACGTACCCAGTAGATGGCAAGGTTGGATCTTGAGGAGGCATCGAAAGCAGACGTCAGGGGAGCCAGGGCTGCAACAGCCGTGGCGACGAGAGAAAACTTGCTGGACACCATGTTGGCAAAAAAAAGAATGACAGCGGGATTAAAATCCCAGCGAACTACCGCACAAGAAAGGAGTGTAGACGGTGAGGGTCAAAGAAAGGACGCAGACAAATGTCTGCAGGCAAGTCGAACGGTCTCTCAACGGACGAAGACTTGCGAAGTGGGAAGGCCAGACCAAAGAGAAGGAGAGATATCTTCAATGAGAGGGGTGGACATGACGGAGACCTATATATGACTACGTATGGGGATGTTATGACCAACCATCTTGCTAGCTCGGAGATTACAGATGGCCGTCTTTGCAGCCATGTCGCATTATTGTTGGCCTAAAATAGTAAGCAGACTCCCCCCAGGCACCGTTGCGGTCTCGAATGGGGAATTGCAGGGATGATAGCAAGAAGGTCGGAGTGAGAATATGAACTCTATTCAGCACCTTGCCAGATTGAGTTCCAACAGGCACAGCCTACCGGACAAACGAACTCGTTTCTCTCAGGTGGAGGTTAAAGTTGACTAGTAACAGGCAACCTGCCGGGGTCTAAAGGCGCTACGGACTCGAAAGCATCAGCAGATTGGACAGCCGAGTGGCAGCGGAAATTGAGACATAGACCCGGCCGATATTGCCGTTGAGTCGGTGGCAGCGATGAGAGTGCTGATTCGACGTGGAAAGTGGAAACAGTCGACAAAAGAGCCGCATGGAGCAATGTATCACGACTCATGAGTGATCAATGGTATGGTCCCTAGTTCCGCATTAGTGACGGGACATGCATTAGTTTGTAGTTGGGACCTTGGGATGAAATGAATTTTACCACCAGGGTCAAGGAGATGAAATCAAGAAAGGACCCCTTAGTGTCTAGATAGTGCCTGATGAGGTCGGCGAATCCAGCCATGATGATGATACCAATCCAAGCGATAGTTACATGTGAAGAGCCATCTCATCGACACAAAGGATGGCTCTTCGATCATGAATCAGTCGAATAAGACCTGTTTCCCTTCTTCCCCTTTCTGTTCTTTTACACACCACATGGCGAGGGGCGTAAAAGGGGAGTAAGCGATGCTGTGGGAGTTAGTTAATTACCTCAAATTGCTGACAGCCAGGTGGCTGCTAGTCTGTATCTCCCCGTAAGCGACGAAGAAGAGGAGCGAATGAAAGGGTCCGAGATGCCTTTGAGACTAGGTTGGAGACTTAGGGACTTGTGTTGCTTGGTTCCATGGGTGTTGCTGGAACTAGCCTACTCCGTTGTCTAGCCCCAACTCCGATAGCCTCAAAAGTCGAGTCGCATGGTCGTGCCTTCCTTATCCAGCCTAGCGAGGGGCTGTTGCCTCGCTGGCAGGCTCCAGGCCTTCAGGAACACCAACCATATTGCGAAGATTTAACGCTGGCCTGATTCAGGTCTTGGCATTGTGTTTTTTCCCTCGAGGACCACGCTGGAAAACACTTTCCTGTTTCGGGCAAAGTCACAACAAAATAAAAAGTCAATATCCGAGATTTCTGATCATAACTGGTGCTTAGTGCGAATGAGACACAAATACCTAACTACCTAGTGCCGGAGAACGTGCCGGATCATCCGAGGGGTTTGTCGTTCCTGTTTATCATGTCATCATTGACTAGGCAATCAGTCAGTCAATACAAGGCTTCGGTTATATTCAACTTCACTATTATTATTGCTGGACTTGGAGGAAATTCGAGCCACTCGGTTGACAATCACAAGCCAGTGGAAGTTATTAACTAATAGGATTTACTATGAGGCTGCTTCTTAGGCTAATTCTCAGAGTTACATCCACCCAAAGGGCTGCTCTTAGTCTCTCGCCACTGACCCGGAGTAAGATGAGAAATCTCCACCAATCTGGACCGCTTCGGGGCTCAGGCCTTTTGAGTGGATAGATCGCACCGAATCACAAGCACATGGAGTATGTTCTCTGTGCTTAACAAGATATTTATCCACCATTCATGCTAAGGCTCGCGCTAACGATCTAGCTCAGGTACTCAACGGATTACGCCGCAAGTACGAAGTACAGTCAGGAACTGGGCATGACTGCAGCAAGCAAGTCCCAGGAGTGCTTGTCAGAAGAAATCGTACAGTGCAGAGACAGTTCAAGAGTCTCTGTCGAGATATCTGGACCAGAATAACGGGTTATGTCACGTTGATATTCTTTGATATTCGTCGACACTAATGGTCATGAATTTTCCTCTCTCAGTAGGACCTTCCTTCTTTGGTACTGGGGCTAAAGGGTGCTCGTAGTCCCATCCGATCATGAAGCTATTCTACTTCCAGAATGGTTCTTCCATAGATCTTTTTTCTGGAGGCGAGTTGAGGCATCTCTCCGACATCGTCGGCTTCGGCGTCTTGCTGGCCTCTGCTCTGATCATTTCCTTTCTCAGACAGTGCTCAGAGTTGCGGTATGACTGACGCTCGATTGCATGAGACAAGCAAGCGTCGGAACCAGGCCGATGATGCATCCACGATCGTTGCAGGGTTTGTTAATTTAGGGGTCAACGCTCCGGAGCTCGCTTAGCCGTCATGGAACCCAGGGACTGACTGATACTAAGTCCAATGTATGAGTTCAGAATCATCTCGCTCATGAGGAACTTACCATACAGGCCCTGGTATGGGGAGAGCATGTCTCCTTAACGAGCATCCTGGATGGTCCAGCGTCTGTCCTGAACTCGTTATTTCGCAGAGCGTTGCATTGCCCCTGTGGCATGATACCGATTTACCCGTACTCCCAGTTATATCACTCACATGTTGAATGATGACCGCACTAAGTCTTGCGAAACATAACTTGTCGGCTCTTATGTCTAACCAGCAGCCTCTTGACAATGTCATCTACGTAGCATGAACCTCGTCTACTGATCTTTTCTCCCCTAGTGGGATCAACTAACGCATTATCTTGCCAATTGGGGCACTGATTCCTAACATTCTGCTCATGAATATGATATCATGGTCGAGATTGACAAAGGTTCATGACTCCCAAAAAAGTCTCTTTAACATATCGCACATCAAGGTGATAGATCGCCTGCCCTCCTTGAGAACCGCATCCATGGCGAGAAACGGATGCGGCATCCCCTTCATCACCTGCAGATCTACCTTCACGCCCGCCTCCCTCAGCTTCGCCGCATACTGCTCCCCCTCTGTGCGCAGGACGTCCAGTTCTCCCACCATGATTAAGGCCGGCGGCAGTTGCGACCAGTCATCATCATAAAAGAGAGGGCTGGCTTCGGGCTTGGCGCGATCTGCTATGTTAGGGAGGTAATGGTTGCGATACCAGATCATCTTGGCTGCAGGGAGAGCCGGGGTGTGCTCATACAGGCGATAGGACTCGTTGTTGTCCACGGTCGCTGTGTTGTCCATGACGGGAACGGAGAGCAGCTGAGCGTGAAAGCGTACCGGTGGCGAGAGGGTGAGGGCTTTATGCGTGATGATGGAAGCCAGATTGCCGCCAGCTGACGAGCCTCCTGTCGCCATCTTGGATGTGTTGATGGGTAGAACCGAGGCACCGTCGGATATGAGCCAAAGGAGAGCTTCCCAGCAATCGTGGACGGCAGCTGGCCACGGGTTTTCAGGAGCCAATCTATACCGTCAGCGACTGAACGTCGACAGGGTGTCGACGGCGAAGACTAACCTATAATCAACTGTGACCACCACGCAGTTCCCTCGAACACAGAGGTTCGTACATACCGGATTCTCGGTGTCGATATTTCCTAGCACCCATCCCCCGCCGTGAAAGTACAGCATCACCGGCCAGCCATCTGCAGGCTTTTCTCCTGGCGGGATGAAGCTGCGGAGCAGAATATCGGGCCCCTCGGTCGTTCTCCGTTTGATCGTGATATCCTCTGTCTTTCCAACTTCGAGCAGAGGACCACCGCCGGGGATCAGAACACCGCTTGTTCTCGAGGCAGCCACGGGTTGGAGATGGACTTGTTGAATGTTGATCACATGTTTGTTGTAGAAGTCGACATATTCTGGGTCGAGCTTGTCCTTGACGGAGTCATGCAAGGGATATGGCGGTTGCGAGATGTCGGTCGAGACAGACATTTTGATCTGGCACTCACAGGAACAATATAGAGCAGCTTATGGGTGATATGAATTTGAGCAGTGAGGAATTGAATAGTGAGTCATTGGACCAGACGATTCATTTACTTTGGTGTTTGGAAGCTTTCCCTCAGGCCGGTTACATTCCGTCCCTGCGGAGTAAGTTCTTGTCTTAAATGAAGGGCCGTGGGGGTGCAACTGTATACAAAGTATCTACTGTGCAGGACGATCTGATCCTCTGCGGTTGATTTCAAGGAAATGGTCGATCGTGGCGATCACCACGTACGCTGTAAGCCTGTGCGATATCCACAGTATGACACACGGTATGATAATCAAACGACAACCTCCTTGCTTGACAATGCAAGGTAGCAGTATGTGCATGTCAACCGAGTCAAATTCAAGGTCGAGTTACAATGGGCTGTCGTGTCGTGAGGGGTTCAATGCAACTTTCCCGCCTGCGATTGGCACACGGCCTTGTTCCCGCGCGTGGGGGAAGCAGATCGATAATAGATACGATGTATTCATCATCCCTGCATCCATGCATTGTAGATGCGCATGTATGCCCGATTGTTTACCGTAGGCGTGATACCGTTGTATACATAACAGATATATGAGGGGATAGTACCCCGCACTACAGAGTTCCCATTTGCTTAGAAGAGAAAGACAGTCAACATCGACATGGCACCCAAAACCCCCGTCCTCACCGAAAAAGCCCCCAAGCCTCTCCCAGGCATCTACTCGCAGGCCATCATCGCCAATGGAGTTGTGTACTGCTCCGGGGCGGTCGCGATGGATCCCGAAACAGGGAAATTGATCGATGGGGATGTCAAGGCTCACACGGTACTCCAATCAATATACCTTTATCCTCTCGTCGAGTGACGAAAGAAGAAGAGAAGGAAAGGATGGCTGACAACAGGCTTGCAGCATCAATGCATCAAGAACCTCACGCATGTCCTCGAGGCGGCCGGCACCACCATCGACAAG